CGGGTGACAGAACCTATTGTCTCTACACTGTGAGCCTCTGCCAACTGTTGGGGGATCTATCGAGACCATAACCAACAACCTCAGTCCAGCACATGGTCCCATTGTTTTAAATTACCCAGATGTGGGGTGAGGGGGTTGGGGGGATAAAACAGATGCTCCACCTTGCCTAAGAGAATCCCGTAGGCTAGCCGAGTGAAAGAGGCGCCTCACTTCTCCTTTGGCAGAAGACACACACCCCAGGTTGCCCACTTCAATATCAGAAACAAAACCAATTCAAGCAAGAGGATACTGTTGGTAAAATTGTAGCAACATGCAACCAAACATCAGTCGACAAGCTGAGCTGAATAAAGAAAAGAACTAATATCACTGCACTAGGGACATTACAATAAGAGCTCCCTCTCCATCTTCGGCAGCGATCAGCGAGTTCAAATTACGACAGTGCCAGTAGAATACTGATTTCCAAGCCCACAGTGTCATTTGTCCGAGTGACGTTATTTTCTTTATGTCGGCTTACAGCACAGCCGCAATGTTCGCGCCTTACGGTCGATACATCCGACTTCATCGCACATTTGTTTACCGGGTTAACCTCCCCGGTTAGTTTAAGATTGGCCAATCGGCCATATGTACTTGTGGACTGGCACCTGAAACAACAGATCACATCCTTCAAGACTGTCCCATATTCAACGCTTTCAGGCAAAACATTTGGCCAAAAGAGACACTTGTGGAAGTCAAACTTTACGGGCCGCTTAGTGAATTACAAAAGACAGTGAAATTCATACAAGAGACGGCTTTGCAGATATAGACAATTTATTTCATGCGAACGAAAGAAGAAGAAGAAGATGTTTCCTGGAACACGACGTGGTATTTTTGTTGTGGTGTTTTCTTTGTCCCATTATCTACGGGTGTTGCCCGTCTAGTGCAGCCCTGACTGGTTGGCCCTGAGGGTGTCTGAGTGACGTTTAGCCCCATCAGGACCGGACAATCAGCGATAATAGCCAGTTTCACCAAGTGTCACCATTCTGACGAAAACCTCCAGAGGCACAAGTCCCATCAACCCCCTTCAACCCTTAGGTTCGTTCGTTCGTTAATTCGATTTGAATTAGCCACGTTCAACCTCTGACTAGGAAGCTTACCTTGTCCTAACCAGTATCGGTTATAACTATGGCAGCAAACTGTGTTGCTACGAGTATTTCATTGCGAAGTGTTTGGTGCTAGTATTTCAAATTTCCTTTATTTTCACTCAGATTGTTGGCATCAGAGAGAAGGTGGCGGCAAACACCAATATCCCACCAGAGGAAGTGACCGGATTTCGGGCGCCATTTCTCCGTATTTTCGGCGACGTCCAGTACGATGTACTGCGAGACAACAACTTCACCTACGACTCTTCATTAGTCAATCTGGAGATTCAAGTTGGCAGGAAACCGCTGTGGCCCTTCACCCTGGATTATCCTATTTCTGCTGACAGGTAACATAGGCAAAACAACACAATATATAGATAACACAACATGTAATGACAATTATACGTATACTGAAGTTACGGATTTAAAGTCCTAAGGAACACATAAACTCCTGATTGGATCACATACAACTTGAGAATGACACTATAAATGTACATATCACTCAGTTATACATACCTTATGGTTTAGCCATATGGACTGGGCGAGACAAGAACACTGACCTAATCCATGATCGTTTGAGATGGGGAAATATGACAGCCTACGTTTATCATCAGCACAACATGATGATGATGACGAATAGAGCTAAGATGAGATCTGACCAATAAACTGCTCTCACAGGCTACAGATCAAGTTTAAAATTAAAAAGGACCCATGTGTTCATAAAATCCCATTTTGTTTACACCGATAAACATTCGATGGGCACGTTGGACATTAAACACGTCGTCTTTACTTATCATACAATTTATTGGTACACGTCCTAAGTTATGACGATTTGAAAATCCAGGCATTGGGAGAGAAAAAGGTGGCGCACCGATTACATTTTTAATAGCCTTAAATACGACCGGTTTTTTTTTTGGGGGGGGGGGGGTGTATAAAGTCCGATTAAAACAATAATGCAACAAGGCACACTGGAGGCCTTTTCTCTATTATGTAAATAAGCAGATGTGTTAAATAAGAGTAGTTGGAGCATTTTTTTTCCCCGAAGACTTTGCAATTAAAACACAAGAAGCAGGAGAAAACTGTGCAACTACATATTAGTTAGTTGCGTTTCCTTTACATAACGTTCTAGGCAAATTTACGTCCAGTAGTTTGCCAAATATCAAGCGCCACGACGGATATAAAAAATTATAGCAGAAGGCGTGGTACCAGGAAGGAGGGGCAGGGCCGATCGACACGAAGATGGGCACAGGATATAGGTGACTCCTTGAGTGTGAAAGTGCATGAGGCGGGAGAACTGGCGAAAGACCGAATTTCTTTCAGGCAGACCGTGATGAGAGCGACGTTCAACAAGGGACCTGATACATGATGATGATGAGTTTGCCATTGCTTTCTGAAGGTCGGCTTTCTTGATACCACTGTCGAAACCAACGCAAGACGCATGGCCCGCAGGTGGGATCGAACCCGGCATTACGAAGCGTTCGCATCGACTTAGCCACAGAAACGACTCAACAACATATAAAGTGGAAAAATACCAAAATATACATTTTCTGTCTTATTGAAGGTTGTGTTTAAATTATGCTATAGTGTATTATTGTTTACCGTTTGAATTACATATATGGTGGGTACCTGGGCCTTCTTACCACATTGGGCTCAGTGGCCACTTTACCTGGGGGCCTCACTAGCATAGAGCCCCTTGCTCATCTGTGTATGTCAACTGACCATTTACATTCATTGCTATGAGTGGCTGTCGTAGGAGCCCCAGCACACCGGTTTTCACACAGGCCCGAAATGCTGTTACGATGACAGCGGGAGGAGGGGAAAGGGGGAGGGGTATTTTAGGTTCTTATGGCATCAAAGGGTCCTAATCCGGCCCTGGGTAGATGGTGAAAAGTCAACAGCCGACGCGGTACTGACAACAACATCACCCATCCAATACCTGTTGTTCAAGAGCCTGTGGTTAAAGAACCCTTCTCCACGACCTCAGGCTTTTTGAGCATATAGGGCTAGACCTATATTTTATGAACCAATCGGCACTTGGTGGGTCATGTGGTCAGCTGGCAGCCTTTACACCCCAGGACTTTACCTAGTACCCAGCTGAGACTGGGTCGACTTAGGAGGTCATTTTCGACAAATGTCTAGCTACGTCAGGACTTAAACCCACGACCGTCTGATCTACAAACAAGCGTCTAGCCGCTACATCTAGGACAATGTAGGTCTCGCTAAATCTCGAATTTCCTTGAAGGACGGGCATAGAATCGAGGTCGTTATCCTTATGTATTATTTACTACTGAGCTCGCTAGGTGAGTGGGTGGGGGTGGGGCGGGGAGGGGAGGGGAGGAAGTTAGTGGATAGCGATTAATTAAAGGTTTGCATAAATGGTATTTGTTAATCTAGAAAGTGCAGCTACTGCAGCCTCTCTGTAAATAACAACGTAGCATTTAGCGTTGAGACAGACAACCCGTTTTGTTTAAATTACATATGTCTGGCTGAAACACCGGGGTTAAAGATACACGGTAACATGCATCCTAAGGTGGCAAACAGTTTTACTCTGTTCTATAGAACATACCAAAATACACATATACTTTCACATACATTCTTTAGTATAGCACACCTGCGTGCGCGCATGCTCCTAGACACTTACTTACATAAAGAGAGGTACTATAACAATAAATATTTGGCCAGGTAAAAGCGGCATTTCAGAAGATGAAGAGTATCTTATGTACTAAAACACTCTCATTAAACATGAGCAAACGAGTACTGAAATGCTACTTTGAGCCTGTTCTGTTGTATGACAGTGAATCTAGGAATGTGAGAAAACAAATTCAGAAACATTTGGAGGCAACTGAGATGTGGTTCTTGAGAAGAATGTTGCGAATACCTTGGACTGTCAGAATAACTAGCAATGATTGCCTGGAAATGGCTAATGAAAGTAGAACATTATATACACCAATGAGAAGAAGACAAACAAAGCTCTTTGGTCATATGATGAGAAAATAAGCACTGGAAAATATCGTGTCCACTGGAAAGATCACTTGCAGAAGAGGCAGAGGCAGACCAAGAGAAATAATAGTGGATGGCTTGAGACAGTGGCACGGGGGAATATCATCAGTGGAATTGATCCAGAACACCAAAGACCGAGATCTGTGGGGATGCATAAACGCCTACGCCAGCTGGCAAGGCACTTGATGATGATAATAACAATAGATACTGAATATAAACAAATGGTAATTTGGACGCAGCATTTATCAAGGCTCTCACCCGATGCCTCTTCAAAACCTGACACTGAAACGTAGGACAGAACTAGAGAAAAGAAAAGAAATGTTGGTTCTTTATCAATATCTTACCCCCAGATGACGTCACATTACAGTCCGACATTTTAGACGATGTTAAGACTGGGTTTCCCGGCTTTCTGAGTCTTTTGATAACCCCAAAACATCTAGAACTGGCCCTAACCCCAACCAACCTACGTCCCACAGGAGAGTGCAGCTTAGGTCCCACGACTGCATGCAGCCTAGGTCCCACGGCTTATCTACTACCCCCTGAAATAGACTGTCCCGTGACCTGTGGATTTCCCCTATTTAAGGTAGGATGTTAAAAATACACCGAAATTTTTTGTTTTAAAGAGACACGAGGATTAGTTTTAAGAGTAAACTATAGGACAACCAATGCAATAGATGTTACATTGTTACACAAGTCAACGAAGCATCCATATTGTGTTGTTCTCTGCGTTTTCGCTATCTACATTAAATCACCGCTTAGATTTCATATTCCTGTAATTATCAGTAACAATTGCAACACACCTGTAACTCCTTTAAAAATGTTCCCAGATGTCCCAACAAGCCTTGTCCTACCCGCTCACACCCCGGAGTCTGGGAGATACCCATGAACGGCTGGGTGGGGGACAACGGATACAGCTGTGGAATGATTGATGGCTGCAGCATTGACGGGGCCAATTTTACAGGCACAGTGGATGATTTTCTGCGATATTACAGGTATTTTCTTTTTTCTATCTTCCTCCCTTTCTTCTTCTCTCTCCCCCCCCCCCCATTATAATCCTACTTCATCTTCTGCTGTTCCTTCTTCTTTTGTAAAAGTCAACTAATTAGAGATGTTTCAATCGAAGTCAGAGATTATCTGTTTGGGATGCCAGGAACCAACAGTCTGCAAACAGATCAACCAGATCTATAAAATTGATGTGCACGTAAAACCCAAGTTCTGTAACAAGACTGCAGGCAAGAATCTGTCGACACTTTTGTAATTTTACCCTCCAAACATTTAACTGCCATGATCAGCTGCCCATGTTGCACATAGCCTAAATATGGTCCTGTCTACTGAACTCGTGTGCTTATTATAGAAAACTGGCTCAAAATATATGACACTTATCCCTGAATGAGTTGGGTTGAGTTGAGTCACGTATTGACATCAAAGCACCCAGGGCATTCCCATGCATGCTCCGTCCTCATCTTCAGCAGCCAGTGCAGAGTTCTAATACTGATGGTACCGGTCACAATCTGGTTATGTGTCCGTCTTTCTTTTCCTCTGAGTGTAGTCAGCTGGCCTAAATGATTGCCTGCTTGATTCTGTGTGTCCGCGCATGTATTATTCAGTTCGCCTACATAAGGTTTAGGGTTCGAATCCACACAGAGGCCGACTTATATAAACTACCTAAGACTGCCAACCTGAAATGGGTATCCTGGGAAGTAAAGGCGACGGGAGTGACATTGTTCAAATCATCTGTCAAGTACGAACTGGGCTATGGAAATATGGTCCATCACCACATGCATAATGGCCTAGTAACTTGAAATGGTTCTCTTTCTTAATTCTTGTAAAATTTTATGCATGACATTTGGGAGCTTTAATAACTTTATTCTTATAATTCATTCATTCAGTAGCATGTCCCTCGCGGAACCTCGCTGCCATAACAACCCTCCAGAAAACCTTCCTATCCTGAGCAAGATGTCCTGCGTCTGATACACCCATCTGGAGATCATCTGCCACATCCTGCACCCATCTTCTCCTTGGCCTTCCTCTTCCTCTCTTCCCAGGCATATACCCCTCCATTATTGTTCTCTCTAGACTTCCATGACGTTTCAAGTGACCAAAATATTTCAATTTTCTTTGTTTTATTGTCTTTACTAGCCAACCCTCTTCAATATTCAGCTCTTGAAGTATGGATGCATTTGTTCTTTTCTTTACCCAAGATATTCTTAGAACCTGTCTGTAACATTTATATTCAAATGCATTTATGCGCTGTTCCGCTTGTTTAGTAAGTGTCCAGGTCTCACAGGCGTATGTTGCAATGGGAAAGATGCATGCTCTTAAAAATCTGACCTTTGTAATTCTATCTGTACGATTTCATAATTTATTCAGTTGTTTTAGTCTTTGAAGAGCAATTGATAGTCGCCGTTTAATTTCTTTCATTGTGTCACCATTGTTGGTAACCAGTGACCCAAGATATTCGAAATTTTCCACCACTTCCAATCTTTCCTCATTAACATATATTTCCTTCTCCATGGCATTCTTATAATTACAGGCGTAATTTCCAGTCGTTTTACAAGGACAGAGTGCCAATGCACATGTTTACTCATGCAGCACTGTTTATGAAGTACAGCCAGGCATTCCAAGGTTGGTATTCTTAACTGTGATGTAGTTATGTAGAATGTAGAAAGATTCTCAGAATATCTTAGACAAAGAAGAGGAGAAATACTGACATATTAAAATATCTGAACAGCATGGAAGATTGGCTAATAAACAGCATCCTGTCTCGGAGCTGAACTATTTTGGTCATTTCAAGCGCCACGGCGGATTGGGGAAAAAAATAGTTGCAGAAGGCATAGTACCAGGAAGGAGGCGCAGGAAGCGACCGACACGAAGATGGGCACAGGATATAATTGACTCTTTAAGTTTGAAAGTGCAGGAGGCGGGAAAGATGGTGAGAAACCATGTTCCTTTCGGGCAGACTGTAATGAGAGCTACGTTCTGCAAAGTACCTGCCACATGATGATGATAATGATGTAGTTATTTAGTAAGAAGCAGAACAGTTGTCACAAAATGCAAGCCTGTCTTTGCTCGCATACTACATAATTATTGTGTGGCTTCGGGAATAAAAAGATAAACATCCAAACACACTACGTCCCAATGTAGGACGCAATTGTTTTGTTGTTTTAAAGCTCCCGCATAGGCTGTTATCGGCTGCCCTAATATAACCCAAACTATGGGCTAAGGGGGATTTCAGGTACCTATCCCGGTGTCAAACTCGTCCGCTGGTGTTTATCGCTCGGTGTGATGTCCTGGTTGCGTTGAACGTCATTATCAGCATCAAGAAGAAGTTGTCTGTAGTTGAGTTCTGCGTAAATTTATCGGAATTCTCACCCTTTGTATGTGTAGCTAGCTATTCAAATAATACCGCCTTTCGTTTGACCCAGAAGCTGCAGAAATTAACGAACATTTAATATAAAGCTGTAGCAGCTATATAATACATGTAAGACTCTAAAGATCGATAAACGAAAGGCAGAGAAGACACAACCAAATATTATTGTTTAAAAAAAAAAATAACCCAGGTACACTGAGCTTGAACATCCTTGGGGCTATCGCTGCGACAGCAGAGCTTCATGGTTTGTGTGACACTTTCGACGGGCAACTACCCGTAATATATAGACAGACTGGACATATGAGATATGAGATCAGTTATGGTGCAATGAAATCGGTTAATTCTCTTCAAACACCCTATACTGTTCCACGATGAAATAATCAGCCTAATGATTTTAATGTGGACCAAACCAAATCGCCATACATGGGGCAAATCATTGATGGGAGAAGAAGACCTGGCTTCTGAATCAGGTGGTGTTCAGGGGTTCGCATTCTCTCCTCCAGCCTGAATCTCCATTTCCCTTAAACGAATCACTTTACCCATCACTATGAGCTTTGAGGTTTGAACAACGGACCAACATCATGGCACACCCACACACATCATGGTAGTAGTGCTCCGTTGTTCTTCTAACTCAAATCTGAGTCCGAAAAAGCTCAGCACTGTGAACAGACTGTGTAGCACCGAAATACTTTGGGTAGATTTTTAACTCAAAATTTTGCCTGGGCAGCTCCGTTAGGCTAATCTTTTCGATTTCCTAAGCCAAACGATTTTTTACGTACGCAATAATGCACACGGGCGTTCGATCTCACTACACAGAGGGAGACCAGGGGGAATTAATAGAAGTTCAAGTCTATCTCTATCGGTATCTCTGTCTCATTCTTTTGGATTCTAGCTATCTTTCCGATTGAAGTTTGTAAGTAACCATGCTGGTGCCAGGTTGTGGTTATTATTAGGGCTGTACCGAATAGTGATTTTCACTATTCGGCCGAATACGAATAGCTGGTCCAACTATTCGGCGAATACGAATACGAATAGTGAACCATCATCATCAGGTGCATTGCCGACTGGCATGGGCGATTAGGCCTTGTCACAATCTGAGATCTCCTGCAGCATGTATTAGTTCGTGTGCTGAAACACCTCCATGCCATGCAACAAGACTGTCAAGAATCTTCTCTCGTTGTCTTCCTCTATCCCTCCTTCCTCAGATCTTTCCAGTGGTCACCACATGTTTCATTTTCCCTCATCTTATAACATGGCCGAAAACATGATGACTGTCTCCTTCTGATGTCTGTGAGTAGTTGTCTTCGGGCTGCCGCCTTTTTTAAAACCACTTGGTTGCTTTTTTTCTGGCTATCCAAGGTATTTTAAGCATTGTTCTGTAAAACCACATCTAGGAGGCCTCAAGAAATTGTTTGGCCTGCCTACCGATTGTCCAGGACTCACAGCCATATGGATGTGTGCAGCAAGTAAAAAAGCATTAGCTTTAAAAAAAAAAGAAAACACAATCGTTCCATGTTGTCAGCATTAAGGCAGCTTCTTGTCTCACTGAACGTATTTCCAGCTGTGTTAAACAGACGTTCACTTGGTACGTTCGTAGGTGGTGCACAAAGTAACGCTTGACAGTATGAACCAAGGTGGGAAATCTTGATATGTTCATTTTCCACCAGTCCAGAAACGGGTGTAAGGTAACCACTATTCGTATTCGGCCCGACCGCAACTATTCGGCCGAATACCGAATAGTAATTAGGTCCACTATTCGGCCCCGAAGCGAATACGAAGCGAATATATGGTACAGCCCTAGTTATTATCCACCAGTCTAGTCATATGGCGCAAATAAATTATTCTTACCCTGTTTTTTTTTAAATCATCATGTGACGGTCTCGTTGATCGCCTGCTTTTGCCTTTCTGTCTCCAGCTCTGACGATATTTATGCATGAACTTCTAGCCATGAAGAACGTGTGGTTTGTGACTCCGAGCCAAGTGATCGCTTGGATGAGAGACGCTCGCACCAACTCAGAGATGATAGCTGCAGGCTGGAGCTGTTGAACCATGGTTTAAATAAAATTCTTGCTACACAATTGCTTGTTTTTGCTGCTGTGTTTCCTTACTACAGACCACAGCCGGGCTGCAGTTAAAGATGGCGGTGGTACATGCACCCAAAGAGTGAGTGTGAGAGTTATGCGTTATGCCCGTTTTCACCATGGCTGCGAAATTTTCGACCCACACATACGACTTCTGTAGTCATTTGTTGCCCGGTTTAGCTTCCCGGCGTCTCGGTCCTTTTTTTATTTAGGTTTTCCCCCAAAGCTCTATAGAACAGCTTTGGTTATAACTGTAGTCTGGTTTCTTTGTGCCGAGTTTAATGGCTGAGATTATGTGTGTGTGCGCACACGCGCCAAGGTTTACGGTTCTGTAGTATGCTGTCCCATTTCTGCGTGTCCGAGTCCTTTACCTTTGGTCTTTTAGGTTCGGATGAGGGTCCTTGTTTGCATGCCAGTCTCATGACTGTGCTTGTTTCTTCTGGCTGTGTCTGTACTGGTTTTATTAGAGGTTTTGTTGTTTTTATGTGTTGAGCTCAGAATGTCATCACAGCACTCGGGTCATTCTAATAAGCGCTGCGTCCTCATCTTCAGCAGCCAGCGAACAGTCAAAATCCCGATGGTGCAGTGGCAACTTGATTGTTGCCTGTGAGTCATATTATCCACTGTTGTCGCTCTGCAACTGTTATTAATGTCTCAATGAGGACGGGAGTTGCCGTGGCGTAGCGGCTAAACGCTAGCATGCGGATCGGAAGGTCGTTGGTTCGGGTCCTGACAAAGCCGGGCTTTCTTCAAAAATGACTTCTGCCTCCAGCTTGGGTGGGTAATAAGTGCAGTTCTGGGATGTTAGGGCGTTTGGCGTGATATTAACCCCCCCCCCCTCACTAAAGCCGATTGTTCTATAAAAACAGAGATCTAGCCCTATATGCCCACTATGCTTGTAGGCGTGGGAAAGGGTCCTTTACTTAAACTAAATGAGGACACTGCACATTTCTGACCTTACATCAGAGCGATACCACCGTTGCTAGACTCTTGTTCGTCGGCCCAAATATCTTGAGCTTCCTTCGAAGTCGGAGTACAGCTGCCCAGGAGGCAGGGAAATTAAAAACGGTTGTACACGCAAAAATCAGGTCCAGGTGAAAGCCAAAAGTCCAAGCGGACGATTATCCTGGACCTTCCACTGGAATTCACAGCCGGTGATCGATAAAAAAAAAAAAAAATCTTGAGCTGGAAGTTTTTCAGGAAGATCCTCATCATATGTCCTACCTGCAGGCGCAGGTTGTCATGATTCACCCTCCCACATGATCACATAATCAGGGATCAGGTCAATGCTCCTGTCTGGCCCCATCCGCGTACTCGAGGCATCCAGTTATTTATTGATGTGCCTTCCCCTTGCTCTCTTTCCATCATTTGTGCCAGTAGTTACCCAGTTCTGGAGTCCTTTTTTTCTCATCGCATGTCTAAAAACCACTGTTGACTTCTGATTCTTCAAAGTTTATGCTTTTATTAGTCTCGGGTATGCCATGTTTGATTTCATATATTTTTTGCATCCTTTTTTAAAAGCTGGGGAGCCGCCGTGGTGTAGCGGCTGGATGCGAGCCTGTGGATGCTAAGGTGGTGACGAAACTAGGGCCGTCTTAACGCATGGGTCTTCTGTGCATTTCCCCGTGGCCTCACGTGTACTGGGGGTTGTTATATAGTGTGCACCGTGTACAGACCAGATACTGGATTATAGTGCGCATGAATTTTTTTTTTAAAATCTCATTTTTTGTTTTCTTCCTAGCCTGCCCAGTATTGGGTAACAATTAAGAGTTTAAAATAATTACTAGCATGGTTTCCAATAAGGAAACAAAAAAGATTCAAAATATATACCTATGTTAACATTTCTTATTCTTCTCATAATTATTCTCAGTAACATCTTAGTCATTTGACTCATAAGACTTATTGTGCGATCGTCTTCACATTTTAAAGTGCCTGGTTTCTTTAGCAGAACTATAAATGTGGACTTTAAAAGGTCATTTGGAATATACCTACTATTATAAATATCATTTAAAAGTTTAGTTATTATTTCCATTCCAAAATCTCCCAGTGCTTCGATTTCTTCCAGTGAGATGTCTGGCCCGGGTGATTTTCTTTCTTCATTTGATGTATTGCATCCTCAACTTCTGCAGTCATTATTGGTGGACCATCATTGTTGGTCTGCAGTTCTACATCTGGTCTATTATCATCATACAATTCCCCTACATACTCTGTCCATCTGTTAATTAAATGTCCCATTAATGAGTTGCCATCTTGTGATTTCAAACATCCAGTGCTGTTACGTGTCATCTTTCCTGTTAACACATTTATATGTTGGTACATGGAATGTGAGTCTTTCCTGTGATGTTCCCCCACCTCTGTACACATTTGATTCAGCCAGACTTCTTTAGTCACTTTGCATTTGTTCAAAAATATTTATTTTTATTCTAGAGTATTCTTCTTTATTATTCTTTTCTTCATTTTTTTTTATTTATCAACTGCAGAATTTCGGTTGACATCGATTTTATCTATGGGTTGGTGGGATTGTCTCTTGTGATGTTTGCCGAATTGACTCAACGCAACATATCTCACTGTTCATCACTAGTACAGTGTTTATTACATTAAACCAGTTTTTTACAGTGACATCGTACTCTTCCTTAATTTCTTTATCTGTTCGAAGTATTCCTAAATTTAACTTGATGTTCTTTCTGTGTTGTTTTCTTAATATTCTATAGTTTTATTCTAATCTTTCCCATACTGCTTCTGGTCTAGTTTTTGCTCCAACTAAGCTGCTCTGGAATTTTCTTGAAATCAAAATATAATCAATCTGATTGCGGACATTATCACCAGGACTTTTCCAAGTCCACTATCTTCGAGGATGGCGTTTAGACCAGGTGTTACATATTATCATTGCTGTGCGACTCAGCCCATGCTATCACCTCTCACATTCTTTTCTCCTAGGCCAGAGCCACCTGTTATTCCTTACACCTTTTCACTTCCTACTTTCGCGTTGAAATCTCCAAGTACCATGTTACTTCACAATTTTTGCATTGACCAACAGCCATGTCTAACTCGTCATAAAATGCGTCAATATCCTTGACCGAACTATCTGCTGTTGGGGCATAAATCTGTACTAAATTGCTGTCAAACGGTCTGCCACGAAGTTTTACTATTAGTATTCTATCTGATATTGTCCAAAATCCTTTCAGTTTTTGGATTCAAAATAATATTAACTCCTTTACTATATTCCTTACAACCTGAGTAAATAATTCTGTGCTGATCAGAATACTATTCACCTGCTCCTGGCCATCGCATATAATTCCTAATATCTTGATCTTTTCCAACTTTCCTTGTACCAATGTTCAGGATGTTTCTACCATTTACTTTTTCTACAGTAGTTGGATGACGGTCAGGTATCACCCGTAGAACATGATGCTCCCTACCGGACGAGATGATTCCACCGGAATCCCCATTCACGTCGTTTTCTTCTTAATGTATCGAGGCATCATTTCACAAGGATAATCCAGCGGTAGTTTCCCCTTGACTGCCACCGGTTTGACTACAAAAGCCTAAGGAGACTTGATTTGCAAGGTAGCAGGGCGCAAAGGCTGTGGCGCCTCTTACGCGTCGATGGCCAAGTCGTATAGTTTTGATGTATTTTACAGTTAGTTGTCCCACCAACAAACTCGCCTCCTCTCAATGACCATCACGTGTTTTGGTCCACGGCCACGTATACAATACAGGTTTGGCTAACCACGCCCTTCTGTGGTAACTCCTATTTCTGGTGGCCTTTCCACCACCTGGTGGACCCACCTAGTAGGACAGGCTCTGGCCCAAAGAAAAGTATTATTCCTAAATGTGTAATAATAATCAGCGGTGTTATTTTTGGAACAAGTACAAATATTTAAGTATCTGGGCACAGAGATAACATCAATAGAAGATGCATTACTGAGATAAACAGAATAGGACAGACAAAAGCCAAATTTTATAAAATCAAAAATTGTTTATGTAATATATGTCATTGAAGGTTAAAAAAGAATTCTTGCGTGCTAAATACATCCAGATTTAACATATGACTATTTGAGTTTTGGACAATCAGCAGGCAGGCCAAACAATTTCTTGAGGCTTCGGAGATATGGTTTTACAACAACAAAAAATGCATAAAATACGGCAGGGCCTGCGTTGGTAGTTGTTCTGGCTGCATTCCTACTAAATAACCAAAGCATGTGATCTTGTTTCTCAATGAACTTGCTGCCTGGTGTTGCTATTACAGACTGATCTTGTTTCTCAATGAACTTGCTGCATGGTGTTGCTATTACAGACTGATCTTGTTTCTCAATGAACTTGCTATTACAGACTGATCTTGTTTCTCAATGAACTTGCTGCATGGTGTTGCTATTACAGACTGATCTTGTTTCTCAATGAACTTGCTGCATGGTCTTGCTATTACAGACTGATCTTATTTCTAACAGTCTCTGGCAGTGAAGTTGGCAGCTTTCCTTGCACACCTCATGTCACATTTGTTAAATTTCCTGAAAATTAGCCTCTGGAACTGCTAGAAATTTTTAATATTAATTTTTAAAAAGATGTTAGGGAAAACGCAAAAGTTCTTGGCATTTTCTCTAGGTCACCTGGGTGAAAGTGTTAACTTCATGGAGGCAAATACCCTTTAACCACAAGACTACAGTGCAACCACTAGTCCCATAATACAATATAAATAACAAAAAACAGACAGTAATACCAGCCAATTTTATTTCCAATAATGCATGAAATATGAAACATGGGGATTTGATTGATGTCTGTTTCTTGCAGCTGCAGTACAAAAGTGTTTTGCAAACAGTTCAATGAGTAATCGAATGATAAAAAAAAAAAATGAAAATTCAGTTTTGAAAGAGCAGCCCTTGTGTGTGTATGCGTGTGGTCATGAAGGATGATAAAACATCTAGCACACCTTGCAGCCTCCTAATGCAATCACTCACAGAATTCCTT